TGACTTAATATCGTGGCCATATGTGTTGCAATATTGTAATTTCATTGTATTGGGTACTAATTAGTAAGGAAAAATGCTCCAGCTTGTGTCTCATGTTTKTAAAAAAGATYCTACAATTGTTAGCGAAATAAAACGAAATAAAACAAATTTTCCGAAAAATCGTTTTTGTTAAAACGTCGCATATGTTAATTAGGGTATCAAACACTAATTACTTGCATAAATTACAATCATATAGGTCATAGAAGTATAGTTAGAGGTTGGCCAACTCTCAAGTCAAATGCTTGAAAAAAGAGTCGAGCATCATATAGGCGATTTAGCATTTAGCAAGTAATATTGTCATAGATTCACTATATAAAATATGTTCTCGAAGACATTCAAAGTACTGGAAATCTTATTTTAATAGGTGGAAGCTAAACATTCAAATTTGTGRTTCCTTCCTCTCGATCAAGACTTCGGTGGTCGTTAGTTCCCCCGAACAAGACATGACACGCGGTCTCTGAGCAATGACATGAACAGACAAGATAGACTGAAATTAGTATATTAGGATTTTTGACCTCAAATTTCTGGCGGTGTATCCTTTGCCACAGTTGCAGTATTGGTAATTATGAAAAGAACAGCGAACACACTTTCCACGCCATTGTAGCATGGCTTACCGTTGCCATAGTTGCTACCTGAATAAAGTCGACATATACGTATTAGCAGCTATTATTTGTTAAATAGGAGCTCTATTCGATCACAAGTAGATTGGTTTGCTCTCCTTTGATTAAGTTGATTGACTAGCTACCGTGCTTTATTTCATTTCTATACTGCGCGAATTGACCAACACTGAATACATTTTCCCCAATAGCCGTCAGTATTTACTACAAATATACCTTGGGGTGGTGTAGTTGTCCAATGAGAAGAGTTTGGCCATGGATACTGTATAGTTCCTGCGCGACGAAACACAAATGTACACAAACAKCTCTTTATAAGAACTCAAATCATGGAGAACAAATATCAACAAATAGACAAAATGTGAAATAATATTGTAAATAATCATTTATTGTCTTTCATTAGGTGKTGATGGGGTTGACCGTTAAGGTGTTTCGATCGTAATAAATAACGTTTCGCGCGTAATTTTGAGCTCCAATTACGTCGCAAATTTCGATTCAATTGCACTCAAACTTTCACAGGAGTCACAGTGATTATCGATAATTGTTGATAAATTAATTTACCAAAAAGCGAAGCCATTTGGATAGACGATGCAAAATAAAAACACCTTCATTTTTCTTCAACATTAATTTTCTCGAAACTCATCGCAGAGATTGTAATAAACTTTTCAGAATCAGATAGATAGATAGATTTTTATTTTGCAATGCTACTGAGAATTGTGCGCACGGCGCTGCCTTTTAAAGAAAATATGGATTTTCAATGGAACCTAGTGAGCTTGCAGAAGTATATTACTAACGTTTCACGTTTTTTAAAAAAGGCATTATAATAATATTATTTTACTTCTTTCTAAATATGGTTGATTTTGTCTTGGGTTGGAAAAAAACGTGCAAATGAGCGGCGGTGATTTTGGCAAAAGATCTATTGCATTCGATATGCATCAATACCTTGTGTTGAATTTGGAGAAGGCTATGGTACCTGAGTACTTTCTGCAACATTGCATGTCCCAAAAATTCAATAAAAGAAAATTCCAATTATACAGATGTAACATCAAAACTATAAGATTTTGCTGAATCCAATCTTCATGGCATCCCTTCAGGTCATGTGCGTTTTCGGGTATCTATTTGTTTTTTGGAACATCCATTTTCCGTGAGTAGCTATCACAGCATTATATGAACGATTCAACTATTTATTGTTTGAATAATGTAAATCAACAGAATTTGCCTAATGCAGTACAATTTTAAACATCTAAAAGTTTTTCATATTATTAGTGTATATACTACTTTACAGCCTTTTGCAAAAATTATGAGAATTGTCTAAATATCTAAATATCATAATATCCATATCCATATATTGTCCGGAACACGCGGGTTTGCTAGAATAATTCATTGTTGACATCGAGAAAATGTTCAGAACTACGGATAAGTCTGTCGCCAAAAAAAAACTAAACTACAAAAACAAGGGAATAAGGGCATCGCGCGGGATTACCCATCATGCACTCGATATTATGATATTTAGATATTTCAACAATTCTCATAATTTTTGCAAAAGGCTGTACATTGCACTATTACTAACTATCAAAATTAGATAACTTAGCATAATTTAGCGTTCTTTAGAAAAGTTTAACTTCGCGACTTTTGTTGTTTGTGCTCTACCAATCAAAATGGCAACAATTGGTATTTAGATAGTAATAAATAGCAATACCTTGTGTTGGTGAAGTTGTCCACTGAGAGTTCTTTGTCGATGGCAGCATAGTAGTTGTAGCATCAACTATAAAAACACAAAGATGTTGAGAATGAAGAAAAAGAGGAAACTCTAACGGAAAGTAAGCTTAAAGTGCGACTGAACCCTTCTAGAAAGTCATTTCGTTCAAAAGAGAACATTATCCTAAGCACTTCTGCAAAGGGAAAAACATTAAAATTTATATCTTTTGATTTAGAAATATTTGAAAATCGGAAATGCAAATTAAATTACGCCTACTAAATCACGATAAAAATACATTACTCTTTTTTTATATCGGAGATGACTTTTCCAGTTCTTGAATATTACTGTTATTGATGATTTGACCATTTCAACCGAACACAAGATATCGCAAACAATGAAAAACCATCAGCTTGTTGCTTTAGTGTATTCTTAAATATAAATGTTATGTTTTATGTCACAACGTTTTAGATCTGAATGTGTACGTATTACATGTATTTTTAGCTTTAGAGTGTGGACCATACATATACACCTAGTTTCTGCATGMTGCAACTATTGAACTTGTAAATATCAGTTTGTAAATGTATTATCTCTTCAACATTCGAAAATTATTTACATTGTAGACCTAATTTTGTATTACTAATGGTTTTGAATAAATGTTTTTCAAATGAAAAAAAAAAAGAAAAAGAAAAGAAAAACCATCAGCCCAATTCCTTGATTGACGTCACTTCATTAGCATTTTCAATTTTCAAATGTCTTTAACTCAGAAAATAAAATTCAAACAATCTTTTTTTCCTCAAGGCAATGATTAGCATCATATTTGCTTTTTGTTAAAAATGATTTTCTAAAAGGGTTCAGTTGCACTTTAAGCTAGCTTTAATGTGAGAAAATCAAAATGATAATAAGAAAAAGATATGCGTAATACCATAAATTAGGATCTCACTAAACGGACTTTATAAGGAAAAGTTCAAACGGTTTCCATCTATGTATAATGCCGTAATTTATGCCTACAGTACCATTGATACTGTATCTCAACAAAAAAACCACGATGTCTGAAACGCCAACTAGAAGTAAAAGTAATGTACATCTGACTAGACGAGCCGTTTTTACTTGATATTCTCTGTTAGGATTATAGTAGCCAGTGAAATGACCAATTAACGGTGATGCACTTGAATTGCMGTCATAAATCCGCACGACATCAAAGTTTGTCTCAGTTTCAAAGACTTCAAAGGTAATCGAGATAATTCCTGTAGTTGCTGTTAAAAACCAATAGCAGTTTTGATTATTTTCATAGTAGTTAAGTGTTGTGTTATCGACGAGTAAAGAATGACATTACAAACTTGTGTCCGCCATATTTATTCCTTCTGGTCAACTAACTATGTTCTAGTTTCCAGGCTCTCTCATACATACATTAGCATAACTAATTAACATAATACAACATCTCCCCTTTTTAGGGTTAACACTTGAATATGCTTATGTGGTTTACAATAACTGAACTAATATGGTTCGATAGTCACTTAATGTTCATCGTCCTTACAAACAAACATAAATTGTGACATATACTTAAGTGAGTCCCAAGCTTTCTCTTGATTTTAGTGATGTCTTTATGATTCTCTTTGGTCTTGAGTCCATGCAAGATGATGGGCGCAGTTTCACTTGCAAGTCTTGATTCGACTGTGGTGAGTTATCCTCCTTGTCTGCTTCAGGCAACTTTACTAGATGTGAGCGGTTTCTAGTTCTAATTAGGCCTTTAGATGTCTGTACATGGTAGGATCTTGGAGTTTGTGCAGCCTCTGTAACATTGACTTCCATTCTCATGTCTTTTATGAATACCTTCTCTTCAAAGTGTACTTTTCTGATGTGTATCATGAGAAATAGTCTATTATAAGTAGGTAAATGTCACTTTGTAGCTGAAATAAATCAGTAGCTATGACTTGCCAGGGGCGTTCTGGCATAGGAGTTGGCATAAGTGGTTCCTTTCTGGCCTCCTGCTGTTTTGCACAAATTCTGCAATTACTAAACATGTCTTGTATTTCTCGGCTGAGTCCAGGCCACCAAACAGCACTTTTTGCTCGGGCTCTACACTTGGTTATTCCCTGGTGTCCCTCGTGGATCTTATCCAGTACTTCCAAGCGCATGGCTGATGGCATTACGATCCTTGACTCTTTAACAAGAAGATTGTTAACGACTGCGAGTGATGCTCTTTCACTCCAGTATGGTTTCAGTGATGTTGTCAGTCTGTCTTTGATTGGCCATCCCTCTAGGCAGAACCTTTTTAGCTCCTTGCACACAACATCTTCGTCTTGTAGCTCGATTATATCCTGTAGCTTTGCATCAGAGACGGGTATTGTCTGAATAAAGCTGTCCACGTGTGCCTTCATTTCTTTATCACTGATGGCACGGCATTCTGCTGTTTGCTTTGTAGTCTTGACAGGGCATCTGCCACACACAATTCTCTACCTGGTGTATGCTTGACTTCCTTGAAGTTGAATCGCATCAGTCTCATTCTCATTCGCTGAATCCTTGGAGTGAGTTGATCTAATGTGTGCGTCGTGAGAATTGGCACTAATGGCTTATGATCCGTTTCAACATAGATGGCTTCTCTCACGATGTAATCGCTAGACCTCTCGCAGGACTTGTTGTGGTTTTGTGTTTTTGTATGTATTCTCTGTTATTACAGTAACGTCAGCTCCTGTATCTATCTTGAATTATACTGGGTTTCCATTMAGCTGAAGTACTAGTGTTTTTAGCTCTCCTTTAGTGACACTTATTGCATCAATGACTTCTCCAAAAAACAGATATGAGTCACTATCATGTACTTCCAGTAGGCGTACTGGTTTTGACTTTGTTGCTCTGCATATCTTACTCCAATGTCCCTTTTTACGGCAGCTATTGCACTTGGAGTCTTTAGCTGGACATTTGGCTTTAGGATGTTGCGTACCTCCACATTTACCACATTTTCCTCCATAGTCTGACTTCTCTGGTGTTTGTGGCTTGGATAGTGTGCAAGGCTTAGCTTTCCTGATCCTGTCTACATTGGTTGGTGCAGTTTCTTTATCGTTATGAATTACGCTTTGTTGCTTTTTATCATTTCGGACTGTTTCGCTTGTGTTATGGCTACTTCTAGGACGAGTTTTGAGTCGAGTTGCAGCTTTTCTGAGAGTCGTCTGTCCCTCAGTCCTACAACAATTCTATCTCTGATTAGGTCCTCCTTCAATATCTTAAAATCACAGTACTGAGCAAGTTTGTACAAGTTTGTGATAAAACTATCAACTGTTTCATCTTATTGTTGGACTCGTGAATTAAATTTTGCTCTTTCAAAAATCACATTTCGTTTGAGCGTGAACTTATCTTCAAACTTGCTTCTTACTGTGTCATAATTTTTTGCTTGCTCGGTGCTCAATTCAAATGACACAAAGATATCATCGGCTTCTTCGCCATTGTATATATTAACGTGCTGACCTGACTTTCTTCGTCTTTTTTATCCAGAGCTGTGGCTTTTCTAAATCTTTCGAACCTTCTTATCCATTTTTGCCATTCCTCTGCTTTGAAAGAGAACTTTTCAGGGGGTGGAACTTGATAACTTGCAAACGAAACACCGACGCTTTCTTGTGCTGGGTTTTTCGCCCGGGGGGGCGGGGGGGGGGGCACTCGACCCCGTTTTGGATAGGTACGTGCCGCCAGCGGTCTAAATCCCTGACCCTKTTTAAGACACTAAAAAGTAAAAATCCATACCCTGTTCAAGACAAATCGGAAAGATAAGGAATAGCTATCTACGCCGCAACCATCAAAACTGCAATTATACTGACATCCATCAAAGACAATAAGAAGTTTTTGATAACACGTTAATTCTTAGACAGTGAAACGGTATTTCTACGGTGTTATGAAAATATTACCCTGTCCAAGACACACAAAAAAATTATATCGGTCTCTTTTATCTAAATTGTAGAGCCTGTTTAACTCTTTCCCGTCTGCCCCTTGAAATTTAGGTCAAATTCGACCTATGCGTCAAAAGTCTATAAGTTGCCGAAATAGTAAGCTAGAGCCCTGAAATTGCTCGTACGAACTTACTAGTAGATACTGTCGATCTTACAGTTAAAAGAATTTCGCAACGAGGAAACAAAAGACACAAAACATGACTCTGCTTTGAAATGAATGCCAAAATCTGAGTTTGAAGGACGGCAGAGTACACTGATTTTCATCTCAATTTGTAGCGTCAAAATATGTTCTCCTAGCAAAAAGTCCACTTGGTTTGCAAACCCCTTTGATAGAACGTCCTCATTTCGATGTTTTTATTTTGTCAAATGCACTCCAGATTTTTAAACAGCCCTCTTTTGAAGACCAGGTATAACAAACTTCTATGCACGATCGAAATGCATCATGGGAAGACGGAAAATTTGGACATAAATCGTGCAGCATTCTTCTTTTAAGAATTTTTTTATAAGTGTGAGCTCCCCCGCACCTACAGGCAAAATATCGGGCCAATTGCATTCTTTGGTTGTCAAATATTGCCAAAATTACCTTGGTAGGTTGGAAAATCTGCCACAGATGGACCAGGAAAGCGATCTTACAATGATGTCTCCAGTTCAAAACAAACCGTGACTTGGAGCCATTGTCTTCGAAAAATCGCTTTCCACCTCTGATTTCTTCCAGAAGATTGCCCCTGCCGACTAGTCAAGCTTAATGATGCAAGCCTAGGGGCTCCTGTGGCAGCAAAAAGCCCCCCCCCGGGGGGTTTTCGGCATTATTTCACTTTTTCTGACGTTTTTGTGAGTAAAATTTTCGGCTTAAACTTCACTTGACGTAAGATTTAGCTTTTCTTTAGTTATCTTGGCCCTTTCGCTGCCACCATGTTGTGTTATCGACGAGCGAAGAATGACATTACAAACTTGTGTCCGCCATATTTATTCCTCCTCGTCAACTAACTAGTTTCTAGTTCTAGTTTCCAGGCTCTCTCATACATATATTAGCATAACTAATTAACATAATACAACATTAGGGAAGTGAGACGACGTGATGTGACCTGTGCCATTGCATGTTCCAAAACAATTGGTTTTAACTGTTATATC